GATTTGTTCAGAGGAGGTTTGCCATGGCTTTCCCCTGAGGCTGAGAGACTGTGACCCAATTGATCACCCAGGAGGTTTCGTGGCCAAGCCAGGAGTCAAACCCTGATCTCTACAATCCAGAGTCATAGTCCAACACTCAAACCACTGCACCATGCTGGCTCTTCGCCATTATCTCTGGCAAGTTTTGCTTTAAAGTTTAAATTTTGTGCTAAAGCTATGTTGAAGCTAGTGACGATCTAGCCAACAAATTGTATGTGATTTTAATTGTTGTTAGCTGCCTTGATTGTTTCAGAGGGGCAGGGTACAAATAATTTTTATTATTATTGTTATTGTTATTATTATTAACATGATATCAGCAAAATGTTTACTTTTTCTCTATTCGTTCATTTCTGTTCATGCAGTGGAATTGCACTACCTGGATAGGAAACTGTTTCTTTAGCATGTCTGCAGCATGCCTAATTGTATGCCATTTTGTTTCCATTGGTGCAGGGAACAGATGCCACAATGCTGAACAAGCTAAACTCCCAGCATAAGCTCAACACCAACTATATCCCACCCAGGAACAACTATGACACCCAGTTTGGCATCAACCACTTTGCTGGAGTTGTCTACTATGAAACAAAAGGTAAGTGAAGGTGTTTTACATGTAGAGAGGCAATATGGAGGTCAGGATCAGATCTTAGGAGATGTCCCATGGTTCAGAGTAAGGACAAATATTTTGCATGAGAAAAGACAAAATAGTGGGTCTTTATTTCTGAAAATTCAAGGCTGGGATTAACTCAGTTATATGCCTCATCTCTCTTGAGATGAAGGCACCATTTGGACTTTGTTTTTGCAGACAAGTGTCAGAACTACTGACCAGTGTACACATGAAACCTGCACTGAATTTAACTCAAGATTTTGTGGCTTAAAAATTTAGACAAAATGTTGAACTTTCATGATTCTCCCCCATCTACACATATGCACACTTCACCCAATAGTAATGAAGAGTTCTAAAGGACTCCAAAACATGTGACAGTAGAATTGTAGTTGGTCCTTATAAAAATTATCACTGTCCTATGGATTTTTTTTATTTGCATTGTTCTTATGGATCAGAAAGGAAATCTCCATTTTGATAAATACAGTATGTAACCATGCCTAGCTGATGCTCTTACCTTTTCCCTTGCAGGCTTTCTGGAGAAAAACAGGGACACGCTCCATGGAGACATCATTCAGTTGGTCCATTCCTCCAGAAACAAATTCATCAAGCAGATCTTCCAGGCTGATGTAGCCATGGTAAGTAATTTCTAGTACCGGGAGGTAAGGGGAAGTTGTCAAGTGTGGCATAATCTGAGACCATCTAGGGCAGCATCTGCGCTACACAAACAATGCAGTTTGACACTGCTTTAACTGCCATGGCTCAATGCTGTAGAATTCTTGGATTTGTAGTTTTGTGAGGTGTTTAGTCTTATCTCTCAGAGAGCTCGGGTACCACAACAAACTATAAGTCCCAGAATTCCATAGGATGGAGCCATGGCAGTTTAAAGCAGTGTCAAACTGCATTAATTCTGCAATATGGCAGCAGCCTGAGTCTAGACGAGCCTTCCCTAACCTGGCACCTTCCAGGTGTACTGGAATACCGTTGCCATAGGACCTTATCACACGGGGTCTAAAGCAGTCCCATCCCCGTCGCATCCCCGTCCCATTGCGCTTCCTTTCCCCGTGTCTTCACACGACGTCGCACCCATCCCCGTCCCATCCCCGTCCCATTGCGGCATCATCCGGCATCATCCCCATTCTTTTGTATGCCTGTTAAATTGGGAATTACATTTTGCCGCAACCAGAATGATACCGGAACGATGCTGCTTTCTGTATGCTGATAAGTTCTGGATTGAAAAGGAACCACAATGGGACGGGGATGCGACGGGGATGGGACTGCTTTAGGCCCCGTGTGATAAGGTCCATAATCTCCACACCCATGAGTGGTTGGAGATTTAGAAAAATGCAGTTCAACATCCCTGGATGGTACTAGGTTCTGGTGGGGCTTTGCTCCTGCCTCCTACTGTTGAGTAGGAGAAAGAGGCCCCATTTTTTAATTACTCTTCAGTACTCTGCCACTAGTGACCTTTCTGTCCTTTAAAGGACACCCCAAAAGTCAGTGACAAGGCTAGGGGACACTGAGGGGTTTGCTGACCAACCTCTGGCTTCCCAGAGACTTTCCGACCCTCTTCCATGAGAGATAGGAAATTCGTGGGAACACACTGAGTGAACAGGAACATGAATGAATGGAAAAAAGAGAAATTTGTGTAGGGAAAGTTTAATCTAAGTATGTAGGTCACTATCACATTGAGGAGCCAAGGTGGCATAGTGGTTTGAGTGTTGGACTATGGCTATGGAAACCAGGGTTTGAATCCCGGCTTGGCCATGTAAACCCACTGGGTGACCTTGGGCAAGTTACATGCTCTCAGCCTCAGGGAAGACAATGGCAAACCTCCTCTGAAGAAATCTTGCCAAGAAAACCCCAGGATAGGCTTGTTTTAGGGTCGCCATAAGTTGAAAACTACTTGAAAGCACACAACAACAACAACAACAACAACAACATTAGAAAGGCATCATTTTAATGAAGGGCACATTCACCTTTCAGGCTCAGTATAGAGTTGCAGAGTTACAGAACAGGTTTAAATCACAGTCAGTCAAGCTGGAAATAAATGCAACCAACCCTGACACAACTGAATTACATAGGTCCCTCTCTTCTCACAGTTAAAATGACAGTCTGGTCCTTCTTCAAGCCCAGAAAGGAAGACCAAGGAGTCTGAACCTTTTGTCCACTCTTGACCGCACTTCCCAATGGAGGGCAGAGTAGGCTAAAAATCCCACCTATACTTCCATCCTGAGCCAGCATGTTGTAGTGGTTTGAGTGTTGGATTACAACTCTGGAGACCAGGATTGAAATCCCCGCTCATCCATGGAAACCCACTGAGTGACCTTGGCAAGTCACATTCTTTCAGCCTCAGAGGAAGACAATGACAAACCTTCTCTGAACAAATCACGGCAAGAAAACCCTATGATAGGTTCACCTTAGGGTTGCCATAAATCAGAAATGACTTGAAGACACACAAAAACAAAAGCCTTCCATCAGTTCCAAAAAACTCTCTGCATCCAAAGGGCACTGCCCTTGTAAAACCTCTCTCCTGAAGGTTTTGGAAAGTTTGACCCTTGGTCTCAAACAAGGTTTCTCATTGGGTGAGTATTTTATCTCTCATAGCCTGCTTTTCTCACAATATAGGAAATTGAGACTTGCAGAACCTACCCTTCAGCTGCATGGTTCAGTTGGTGCTGTGGGCTCTACACTTTGTCTTCTGGTCTCCCCCAAATATAGGGGGAAAGACATAGGCTGCATGTACACTGCAGAATTACTGCGTTTTGACACTGCTTTAACTGCCATGGTGCAGTGCTATGGAATTCTGGGATTTGTAGTCTTGTGTTATATTTAGCCTTCTCTCTCAGAGAGCTCTGGTACTACAACAAACTACAAATCCCAGGTTTCTATAGGATGGAGCCATAGCAGTTAAATCAGTGTCAAATTGCATTGATTCTGCATTGTGGCAGCATTCATACTCTGGTTAGGGAAAAGATGGTCAATGGGGATAATCATAGCCCTTGCGTGCTGTTTTTCTTGCCATTATTAATCTCTTGAGAAGCAAGTCATCTTAGCCACCTTGGATCCCTTGGTGGTAGGCGGAATAGAAATTGGATGAATGAATGAATGAATGAATGAATGAATGAATATCTTCACTAATGTGAAGAGCAACAGAGGATTTCAAAGATTTGTATCATTCTCTTTTGTACCTCAGCAGCTCATTCCTCTTTGCTGTTGATTTTGCTAGTAAATGTACAGTCAAAGAGAAGCCTTTACCGAAACTGCTGTTGCTATTCATGCCAGAAAGGAAGAGATTAAAAAGATCTTTGCCTGCCTGTAGACTGACATGGAAGTCAGTTCATCTCAGTGGAACTTGACCATATGACTCTTGGTCAGCTGCTATTATGGTTCTTTTGCCCTTCTTCTTTTTCTTGATATTTATTGTGCACTGGAAGGTTTAAAGATTTTTTTTACAATTGAAAAATAAAAGTCACCAACTGTTTGTATCAATTATGCAACTGGTGGGGAAATTACCTTTTTTGACTGCATCTCCCAGAATCCCCCAACCATGAACACCCATGCTGGGATTCTGGGAGTTTTACTCCCCAAAGTAACATTCCCATGCTGTAAACAGAGGATATATAACTATAATCTTCAATTTCCACAATGCCCTACCTGCTTCCTTCCTGACATGCATTTGATTCTGTCTCTTGGATTCTTTGGACTCCTGGGATTTATAGGTTTTTAAAAAATATTTAGAACCCTTAGCCTGATAGTTCTAGCCTCTCCAAATTACAAATCCCAGGATTCCAAAGGATGCAGCCATGGCAGTTAAAGTAGTATCAAAATGCTATAACAGGGAGAAAAGCTTCCTGCTAATATATCTTTATAAAAAAATTAGTGTAGAGTTGTGTTGCCTCCTCCCAAAAAAATGAACAAAAGAAAGCAGTAAATGGAGAAAAGAGAAAGAAGATAGATTATTGAACAAGGTTATAAGCATCATCTGAGATGTGATTCTTTTAAATACAGCGGGCCCTTGGTATCCACTGGGGTTTGGTTCCAGGACCTCCCACGGATACCAAAATCAATGGATGCCCAAGTCCTATTAAATACAATGGATACTAAAATGGTATCCCTTCTATAAAATGGCAAAACCAAGCTTTGCTTTTTTGGAATATATATTTTCAAGCTGTGGATGCTTAAATATGTGGATAAAGAACCCATAGATACAGAGGGCCAACTGTACTGCCAAGTGGAGTGAGGTCAGTAAAGAACGTCTTAAAGCTGCCTGCTAGCCAGGAGAAGATATGAACAAAATTGTGCCTGTATCTGAAATGCAAGGATCACAGGCCAGCCTTTTTACATGGTGACAGTGATGAACAGTAATGGAAATATAGACAGCTAGCCCCATGGAGGAGGTCGGGTGTCAACTGTTTATTATTGGCACATCAGATCCCTCCTTTCAACAGTTTCAAGGCAGAGGTCACTAAGACCACCATGCAAATAATAACTACAGCAAGATTTAAAGAAATAACTTCCTGGAGTTTGAGCCAACATAGAGGCTTCATTAGGGGGGTGCGGACAGCACTGGGTGGCACCCTGGAGAGATTGGCAGGGGTACTGGGCAAGCGAGAAAGGGCATTGCCTCCCAATATGCTTAGGGTTGCTATAATCCCCTTCCACAAAACCAGGACAAAAGTATGCAAGTGCACAAGGTGGTTTCTAAAGCAAAAAACAAAACAAACAAAAAAAACCTATAAAAATACAGTCAGCCCCCCCATATCCATGGATTCATCCAGCCAGGGCTTCAAAATATTCAAAAAATATACAAATTCCAAAAAGTAAACCTTGATTTTGGGAACACCATTTGACTTGGCAAGTCTATACAATGGGACGTGGGCATCCATGGATTTTGGTGTCCACGGGGGTCCTGGAACCAAATCCCAGCTGTGTTTCAAGTTGTTGTTTATTTATATATATTGGCATCCATTTACATTCTGGGATTTGTCGTTTGTTGCTTCAACTGGCCCATCTGGTGGGGACATTTTTCAAACCCTTAAATCTGGGATTTCCCTGGTTTTCTGGGACAAATGGTAAGCCTATATATGCTATATATGCATATATCCTATATGCTAGGGTCGTGTTATTATGCTTATATTATAGGATCAGACTGAAAGAAAGCAGATCTGGTTTTCATATCAAAAGTAATATTCCAACTCAGGATCTCCCAATTCTCAGCTGTTACACTACATCAGCAGCAGATCAACTAGTTGCTCACCAGGATTACTGTAGGTTACAGAAAACCTTTCTTGTAAATCTTTAAACAACCCAAGAGGATTGGGGCTGCTTTTAACAATCCTAAATACCATACGCTGTGCCTCCTAGATACCTGAAGGATTGTGTTGTCTAACATGAGGCTACCTATACAAAGATCACCTTTGCCAGAGCTTGGAGATGTTGACTTTTCTACTACAATTCCCACAATACTAGGGAGCTCTGAGGGTTATATTGCAAAGGGTCCCCTGAAGCTCTGATGTTTGGAGGCTGTCCTGAGACTGGCATTTTAAGGGAGGCAGGTACAGAAAGGAAAGAGACAAAAGACTCACTTTTTGAATGCCTTTCCTAGGGAAGTTTACTTGCAATGTATTTTAATATGAAGTAGAGACTTTCCGTTATTTACTCAGTGGTCTTTACTTTCAGTTTTATTTGTTTTTGTCTACTCTTCCTGACATCTGCCTGTTTTATTCTCTTGTCGTTCTTTTGGCATTTTGTTGTTTTATTTGTGAGCTGTTTTAAACCTACTTTCATCAAAAACTGGCCTATTCTTATTCATAATAATATTAATAATGTGTCCTAGATACAATGATAGGTCACATATGCAAGAAAGAAAAGAAAAATGTAAGGCACCCAAAGGCTATCGTTTTGTGCAAGGTATTACAAAAACTGTTTCACACAATGGAGAACCTTGTGCAATAATCCAACAATATTTGGATCATCCAGCCCTTTAGATAAGGGAACATGATGTATAATAGAATGCCAAGCATTGTGAAGCAAACCAGTTCCTCTGTCAGTGACTCTATCTTTGTGACTATTTGCAAGGGGAGGTATATGTTCTTCGTGAGTTTTTTTAAAAAAACAACAACAGTAGAACAATTAACATCAGTCTTTGCATTTCTGTTTAGAAGTAGTAGATAAGTCAACTCATTTGACTTCATTTGATGGAGAAGAATGCTAAGGATACCGTGGACAGCCAAAAAGACAAATAAATGGTTCCTTGAACAGTTCAAGCTTGAACTCTCCCTGGAAGCCAAGATCATCAAATTGAGGCTATCTTACTTTGGGCACATCATGAGAAGGCATGACTCATTGGAAAAGACAATGATGCTAGGAAGAGTAGAAGCCAGTAGAAAGAGAGGAAGACTGCACACCAAATGAATAGACTCAGGGGGGTTGCAGACTGCAAAAAATAGTGTGAATTCAGTCCACTTTTAGGGTTAGGGTTAAGGTTAGGGAATCATGGGAACTGAATTTTATTGTGGCACTAGAGTTCTCTGACAAAGAAGGCTCAATGTCTCAGAAAAATAACAATTCCCATGATTCCCTAGCACTAACCCTAACCCTAAAAGTGGACTGAATTCACACTATTTCTGGTCAATCAGGGAAGTTATGGGCCTGAATTTGCAGGATCTAAGCAAAGCAGTGGAGGACAGGAGGTCTTGGGCCTGTCTTATTCACAGGGAGTCTGGGCTGACTTGAGGGCAGTTAACAACAAAGTACACAAGTAT